TATATATATATATATATATATATATATATATATATATATATAACACGGAAAGATTGAATAACAATGCAACTACTTTTAAGAAACGTTCATTTCCGTGCTTTAATCACACATTTTGGCAGGCCATCCTCGAGACCACTCCGATTCTTCCATCACGAGAGAAGATCAACAATGTGAAGAAAACAAAGATTATAAACAGCCGTGTGTCTTTTTCTTTTTAAGGGTGAAAACCTGTGATACAATAAACTGTCGTATAAAGGGTACAGATCAGTCCCCACATCCTTGAACAGCAAGCAGAGCATCCATTCTGCAAATACTAATCATGTTCCGCTCTAGCTTTGCCAAAATTCGAGATGAACTATTCCGGGGGATCAATCAATCACCTGACAAAAAAAAAAAAAACCCAAATTTACCATTTGCCTTTAAGTATTTTTGAAAAAAAAAATTAGGAAGAAATCTTTATTATATTAAACAACTTATAAGACGCTACATATAGCAATTGTGCTAGGTTCCACATCGTACATTAGGCATAGTTTGTAGACAGAATAAAAGAAGCATTGCTAACAATTACAGCCTACCACAATATTTTTGAATGTAAATAAGAATGCTAAAAAAGCTGCCAAGGGAACAATGGCTTTGTCGTCAAAATAAGCTGCAGAAAGTACACGAGGAACAATGTGTGATAGGTTACTCCTTTTGACCTCAACTCAACATGAGAGTTTCTAGTGTTTCTCTGATGCAATGTTTTTAAAGCTCGTTCACATTGATCATGGACATTGTACCCTATTGCCTTGACTGTGTTCCTTGAGAGTACATGATTTATACAAGACCTTATACTGAAGATGCAATCCATTACAGGGACAACTGTGTTGATTAGTGGGGCAAAAAATTGGTTCTTATATATATATATATATATATGTATATATCTCTTTGAACTGAAAAAAAGGTTTCCAATACTTACTTGCTACAGGATCTATATGTACAAAGAAACTTGCAGCAACTATGAGGTAGCACAAAATAAGCATTAGTCCCTTGAAATAATTTGCAGTACCTTCCTGAAAGAAATATCAGACAACAAGTAAAACATAGTATATTGCTTATCTAAAATTTATATTTATAATCTGCAGTTTAGATTAAACAGAGCAGATGAATCTTATGAAACTTGGAAAAATTCTCAAGCAGGTCAGAAGCTTATAAAATTTCCAGAGCAAATGAACCAAATTGTAAAGTTACTACAAACAATACCGAAAAAATAAAGACAACATAATTCTAAAAGTTTCATAAAAACATTTATGTACCAGAACATATCACAAAGTCTATTTTTCTCTAGATACAAACTTTCATAAGTATTGAGATATATGCTTCTTTCAAAGTTGATTATGATAATTTCTTGAAGCACCTCACAAAAGTACTAGATAATAACAGAACAATTAAAGCAGCTCTACCATTCAACAATTCCACCAATGCAAAAATATATATATCACATCAAAGTTAAAATTAGATGCTTAAGTGATCACTAAGGACTTATCATCAACCAAATAAAACTTCAACCACCGGATGCCATCAAGCTTGATCCAAAGTTACAGATATCAAAATAATTATACTGATATCTATTTATCAGTTTCTCCATTTTTAAGAATATCAGATGATTTATCAGTTTTTATCTATTTATATGTTTTAAAAAGAAGAAATATATACTAGCAATTATTTCACTCTCTAAATATATAGAGATTAAGTTTTCTTAATGTCAGCAATTATTTCAAACATAAAAACATACCTTTATCATAACTATATATCGTATTTGAATCTGTTTCTAGCAGCCAAGACATGTAAAACTTACACTTTACAATATGCAATTCTTCCAATCTAAAGTTAGGAACTAAAAACAGCCAAACAATTTTATTTGAATCTGTCTCATGGTGCTTGGTCTTATGCATAAGGATTACAAAATCATATAGAACAAGATGAGATTTTATAATTATGTCTTTCAACCTTTCACTTAGCAATCTCTATTCTCATTTAGAATAAACATAAAGTTATCCAGAAAATAGGGTACAAAATTAGTATATTTGCAATAACAATATAGATAATCATAACCAGAAAAGAAAATTATATATATATATATATATATATATAAGGATTGTAATTTTAGCCCGTACCGGTATGGTATGTTGTGGCATATTGACAGTACACCCAAAATCATCAAAAAAACCTCTAAAAATACCTAAAAAAAAAAATTAGATAAGGATTTTTAAGTTAGAAATAAATATAAATTTAATATAAATTTAGTAAAAATAATATAAATTGATCGAATATCAATCAAATTTTGATTAAATCATCATTAAAACCACTAATTATAATATTAAAAAACTTAATTAAAACCTAATATACATAAACATATGATCCAATCCTTAATATGAATGAAAAATAAAGATTTCACTTATTAAATGTCTATTTTTGAAAAAAAAATCAATATTAAACACACTAATCACAACATTAAAGACCTTAATTACACCCTAATTAATAATATTTTATCATCAAAATATACCGAACAATATATTAGACATTAAGTCATACACCACATATAATAGGCTTAATCATCTCATAAATCGATAAAAATCTAGAAAGAGAATACACACCGTTTTATTAGAGTGTTCTTCCTATTAATCCTCTCAAATTAGCCTCCTAAATTTGATCCAATCCACAAATTATAGCTTTGTTGAGTTTTAGGAGAGTGAAAATGTAAGAATCAAAGTGAGAAATGAATGAAAAAGAGTTTGAGAGAGTTTAAAAGATTAAGTGAAATGAGTTGAAAGAGAGGGGAGGAAAGGGTTTAAAAACCTTTTTCTAAAACTCAAACGATTAAATTGACCGTTTGAAATAGGGCAATTTTAGCCCTTGATCGGCGACAGTCAAAATCCGATCGTTACCGGTAACCGGTAACGATCAGATTTCAACCGTTACCGCTCGGTAGAGGACGACCGCATACCGGACGGTATGCATCGGTATAACAAACCATATATATATATATATATATATATATATATGTACATATATATATATATATATTCTGTTTGTACCCTGGTTTGAATTAGTGGCTGATGCAGTTTTACAAATATCCCCATCTAGAGTCCTCTTACAACTCCCGTCTAGATAGAGTCCTCTTAATTATACCACTTCGGTTGAAGCTGCCTGCCTTTTCTTATAATGGTTTCACTAACACTTAGAGTTAGTGTTTATAATATATAGTAATAATTCACACCCTCGATCATTATAGCAATCCTTAGCCCAAGTCACTAGCATATGAGAAAATTGATAGCCTTACCAATTGCAGTGGATACACTGCTATATATATGTTCAAGCTATCACTCTGTGCATGAATCTTTTCTGTCGTTAAAAGTTAAAAATTGCTTCCATGATAGTACCATATGAACCTTAAATACTTTTTGTAATATCATTCATGACCTGCCCCGTCTGATTTTAGTAACCTACCTGTAGTATCATCTGGTATCATTGAAAAAATAATACAAAAATAAATAAGAATGATAATGTACTTATATCAAGCAATATTTTTCAATACTGAAACTTAGTCGGACTAATAAATACTGATCCTTACCAACCAGTAAGATTGAAATTTGACACCTTGATTGGAAATTGATTGTAGCAAAATAACAGTAGAATGATGGTCTTTCATGGTTTTCAAATAGTGAGATAATAAGTAAAAATCTCAAAACAAATAATCATGCTGGCCAAGTAGAAAATTGGTCTAGACACCATATTAGCCCTAACAAAAAATGGAAAAAGGATCACATTGAAGTAATAACCATTTCTGGCATAATGCAACATAAATGATATAGCCAAGTAGTTATAATCAAATTATTATAAAGCTATCAAGTGGTAAAACTATTTCGGAGAGACCTGCAACATAAATGCTACAACCAGTACTGTTATAAAGAGAGTGGCTGTTTCAAATAGTTGGAAGTTCAAGTCCATTTGCCTCCCCATAATCCAACCAACAACCACACAGAAAGGAATCTGCAAATACCAACAAGAATCAGTTTATGTACATGATATCAATTTTCTATTATTAACACATGCAAATCTCAGAATCATCAGAAAGGATGAATGAGACCCGTATTATGGTTATAATGTTGCAATATAAGATATAATCAGCTCACACAATAGCTAGAATTGGCCAGAAAATTGGAATGCACTGCTCTGGCCTAAAAAGATAAAAAAGCAAGCACTAAACATTTCTGTGGATAAAAGGGGTTAAAAAATTGTAGGCTATTCATAAAAGCATGGATTGCAAAACCAAACGATTCGGTATGGTTTGACCTGTTTTTACTGGCCACAGTGCTGACCAATGCACTGAGCAGCCTAAATTAGATGATCTGGTATGATTCACCACATATATACATATATATACATATATACATATATACATATATACATATATATATATATATAGAAGGCATGCACCCAATGCAGCTCAAGAGGATTCATGAGTTGTCTCCACCCGTTGTCACTACTTGACGTCTGTCGCAGACTTAGCTGGTTTGGCAAAGAGGGAGGGCCCTTGCCCTATGAGGGTAGGTCAACTATGCTTAAGGCTTCCCTAACCCGTTGTGGTCAGGTTGGGGTCAAGGAAGAACCAGGCCTGGTCTACCGCGACAACATTCGGTTCGTGGCCAGTTTATCCTCTCTCCTGAGGTGTTCAGTGTCCTCTTGAAGTGAACATTGTGCCACCTGGATAGGCTGTTATTCCACCTCCATGTACAGTTGCACCACATAACTGCCCTTAGAGGGCAATTATGCCACCTCAGACACCACATCAGCAGGTAGTTGCATCATCGAGGCATCGACTATGCCACCTCAGTAGGCAATTGTGCCACGCCGACAATTGCCCTAATCATCCTAACCATTAATAGTTATAGACTGTGGGTATAAATAGTCTCTCATTCTCTTCTCTCTTTCCTGTAGTTCATATTCCACTACACTTCGAACAACCTATTAACTTGAGCCCTAGAACTGCACACGTAGTTTCGAGCCGGATGAGGCTATGGTATTGTATTGCGCTCTGGTATGGAAAACATAATCTCATACGCAAAGTGTGCGTAGGCTTACAAAGCACTCCAAAACCCGATTGAGCGGCTATAGTTGGACTTGCGACTATCTTTTTACTTTTAAAGTCCATGAATTTCTTCTTGTCTTCCAAGTGTTTGTTGAATTCATTAGGTGTTGTGCTTTTGAGCAAGATGTATGTCGCTTGTTTTTTAGACTAATCAAGTTTTTGTTGAATTGTTTGAGTGTTGTGCTTTTGAGCGAGATGTTAGGACTTGTCTGCCAATCATTTTTTAAACTAATCAACTCTCTTTTTGCATGTCTTTGGGGACCTGAGAAAGGTTACACTTGGGTTAACCCTTTGTGGACGAATATCACAAAGGTATCTCATGACTTAAACAATTCCAACTAAGTCCGTGATATTTAGTATCGGAGTGGGCAAGCGATTTGAGCAAACAACAAAGTTTGCAGCTCAGCCATGATGAAGCACCATGGTGAATCAAGGTTGAATCGAATGGGGCCACAAGTGTACTCTCGCTCTCAAAATGTGGAGCCACTCAAGAGGAGCATGACAGTCATAATGGTGTGCAAGTAGTTCGCAACTCCCCGCAAGCGAAGGACTTTGAACAGTAAAAACATAGCCGAAAGTCCAGCAACGATTCACGGACATGCATCAAACACCTTGATTGCATTGCACCATACAGTTCACTTTGGTACACCTCCTCTGCCACCTCTTTTCCACCTCTTATTCTTTCTCCTTTTTCTTCCTTCTTCCTCTTCCTTCTTCTAGTCCTTTCTCTCCCCTAGTAGTACCATGCTATGTTCCAATGTACCAATATCAATACATTAACATGGCGCGGACCCATACAGGTCCGACAATCAAAATTGCAAACCTTGGGTAAAAGACAAGCATAACAATAGAATTTCAGTAACAAGCATTAGATTCATGCATACTGTGGTCTGGAAGAAAACATACCATGACTCGTTAAAGGCAGTTAATCATCAGCATAGCAGAGAAGTGTAGCATTTAATTTTATATATTGTGTGTGTTGTTGTCTATTGTACCTTGCCAATGCCCGAAACATATCAAATGTATCCCTAGGTTATGTAAGTAATTGTTGTGCATGCAACAACCCACTGGAAAAAATTTACTATGTCAGAGTACAACTAATATATTTTCTAGCATAGGCACCTTCAATAACCACTAAAAGTTACATTTTGGGTTACACTAGGACTTCTTTACACACATTAAAATCCATAATTCTTCCATCTCTTCTATCAACATAGCTTGCTCATTTCTGGTCAGGCAAAGTCAGATTTGTTATCTTAACCATTTCTCATAAATGAAACTAGTTCAGGATGAGGAACCAAATCATGACAGTTTGTATACAAGTTTCTAAAATTATCATTCATACTGGTTAGTATGGGCCAGTATTTACTGGCTCAACAACTTACCAAGATATAGACTGGATCTCTTCAGTATGGTTGTACCACTCGCATCAAAGTATGTTGAGATATATCATTTTGTAATTTTTTGGATGCATTAAAATTAGTCAAGTATATACAGATGTTGTCACTGCTCATGGGTGAACAATAACCCACATGGACAGAAGATACAAATCAGTTGTGCCTCGTCAGTATAGATCAGGATTGATAATAAGAGTTTCTTATTGTGTGCTCAATTTTCATATGAACAAAAACCAATTGTCAAAACTTTTGATATCTTTCTTCCTACCCTAGATTCTTTCTCCCCATATTTCACTTCCTTCCCAAATATTATATGGTATATTTGTTTCATGGCAGATTGTTATCTCATGCACATAAATAATTTCTTTTACCACATCTTATCCTCTTCAAACATCAAAAAGTAAGACTTAGTTCTAAGCAAAGAAATCTCAAGAACCGCCAGTCACTGACTGAAGAACTTGCAAGTGCAAAGCACAAACAAACTGAACACTAATTATGTCCATATGATTACCACAAACATCGATATTTGTGTAGAGGATCCAATTGCGACACCCAGTGTGATGTCCTGCAAAAAAAAGAAAACTTGTATCAACAAATATTGCCAATTGGATTTGAAATCCTCCAAGAAAAGTCAAACTAAAACCAATAGTGGTATGATAAAAGCAGATATGCCTCAAAGTACTAACCAGTTTGTCTTTCATAGCAAACATTATTGCGCTAGCATGCTCAGCAGCATTTCCAACAATAGGTAGCAAAATAACACTGATAAAAGCCACCGGCATGTTCATTGACTCTGATGCCCCCTGGAAGAAAATATCAAAAATACAATTAGATCATGGGCAACCACAGCAAATTATTACTTTAGTAAAAGAATATAATGTAATCTCCATAGTCTGCTTTACTAAATGAATACCGTACAATATCTAGAGTCTAATGTAAAAGCATGACAAGACAAAATTCAGTACGCATTGATTCAGAAGCAAAATATCAGCTTGGTCTACAAAGAAGAAACTATCAAGTAAGAAATCTATATACATGTTTGGCCTAAATTCTCCTATGTGTTCTAGTTTACCCTACATGGAGGGACCATACATGTCATATTTGTTGTGACTTCAGATCAATCTTGATATCAGCCAAGTCCACGATCATTTAGTAGAAAACAGAACATGTAGAGGGTGACTATGTTATAATAAATTATGGTACCTTGAATAGTCATGCCCAGAAAAATATGTACAAACTTCATTTGAAGAAAGAAAAATTGCAAGTCATATAAATTTACATAATCAAAATTTGTCATATGATCAAGCACAACACAAATGGATGTGAATCCAATAGCATATGGAAATATATTACTCAATTTCAGTATGGATAAGAAGAGTAGATCATAAAGATTAGAACAAAGTCCAGTTCCATTGCAGTTCTTTGTCTTAACATAAGTTGGCACACATCCACATATGCTGTGTGTCATATCATATCTCATTCCTATATGGCTTATCCATGGGAAACTTCACCAGATAGTAGACACCTGATAAACAATGGTAACAACATTTGGATTGGGGAAGGGTCAATGTGTGCAGCCTTGCCTTTATATTTAGAGAGATTGTTCCTGAATGGAACTTCTCCAAAGCTTGTGCTGTTCTTAGCAAAATTAAAATTGGGTGAGATCCTCTCATATTATATTGCATTCCCATCCAATAATTTTGCTCATGATCACATGTCAACAGCTAGTCATGCCCAACTTAATTTCTCTTGACTGATATTAACTTTGGGCTGTTAGTTGTCCTACTAGAATTAGATTGATATTTGTTTAAAAAAATCTTATGCCCACTGCATATCTTATACACAACTCTTATATTCTGAGATGAGAGAACATGAGAATAGGATTTTTTACTACAAAAATCAATTCTTTACTGCAGTGATGGAAAAACTCCATGCATAAAATATGCATGTGGGTTTTACATGTGGGAATATCATTTCTCTCTTTCATAACTGTATTAGCATTACCAGTTAGTCATTGACTTTTGGACATTGTCATAACAGTTCCAATTCTAGAGTTAATAAATTAGAGTGGGATGTCTATTACCCTTAATTTAATTAACAATCTGATGAATGAATGGAAATACAACTGCTGCCAAATTACATTTGTTTCCCTGTTATCATGGAAACTTCAAAACAGCTGCTTTCATTAAAATAAGGATTGGGTTATTCTATATCCCAAAGTGATAACTGGTCAAGTAACTCATGAATATCTATAATAACATGTAAGACAAACACACAAGATTGTTATGAATGAAGCAGAAAAAAGGGTACAAAAGGAAGAATCCAACACCTGTATAGCATCAACAAGGTATCCAGAGAGAATAGAAACCCAAACAGTCAAGACAGCAAGCCAGGATATTGCTTCCCATTGAGTTATCTCAGGAGCCTCCTCATCATCACTGTCGTTCTCATTCGCTACCTCTTCCTACAATGTAATATGAATTTTTAGGAACCATGTGTTTTGATGCATATCTAACACAAAATAACAATTGGTTAAATTTCAGACAATAGATTGACCACCAACCAATGTTTAAACAAATAAAATGACCTTTTGTATATCTTAGGCAAAAAAAAAAAACAAAGAATTTGTGATAAAAAATTTGTGATTAATGCTTTCGACTAAAGCTTAAGGCCAGACCTTGAAAAGTCAATAAAGAAAAAAAGAAAATAAAGAAAATTAAAATAAAGCTAGATGTATGACGAGCTAGAATTCACTCAGACACGAAGTCCTTTTATAGCTCCTTATGTTGAAACCCTTAAAATGCACTTAAAAAAATAGAAGAAAAAATTTATTTTTTGAAAATAATAATATGTATGCTATGACTAAAGCTGAAAAATATCAAGTTGTCTATTTGGTACAGGCCTGCATCGTATTACCCTAATTTATTGCCCCTGCAACCAAGATTTTAAATACTAGTCAGATTTATCCTAACTGATATTTACTGGTATATCCAAGAAACTATAAAAGACCATCCACTTGGTACCCGTGTTTGATGTACCATCCAAAACAATACGAAGCAGGCCGTACATGCCAGTCTGTCAACTAACCGATACATGATGCATCAGCCGATACAGTTCATACTGTATCAGCTGACACGAGTAGGTATGGGTTGGAACTGGACTGCTACCAACCAAAATTGGGTCAAGTTTGCCCCCAATGGTCAAATTGGTCTTTGGAACCTCTTTTGAACTATAAATCCCCTCCCTCCCCCCTCTTTCACTCACTCTCACTCTCATTCATTGTCATCCGCTCTCTCATTCTCACTCTCACTCCTAGTCACTGTCATCCTTATAACTTAGAATTCCTATTCATTTATGCCTCATATACACTCTATTCTATATAAATACAATAAAATTATCATTAGATTAGGATAAAAAAACCCTAAGAAATGGTTTTCTGTAAATTTTCGGCCATTTTCAATCTTTTTTCAAAAATCTGTACATGTCAGCAACAGAGATACATTACAGTATTCATGTACTGGCCCAAAAGTGAGTGAAAGAGGGGAGCAAGGGGCCTAAAAGTGGCCCCAACAATCAATTTGACCATTAGGGTCAAAGTAGACTCAATCTGAGCTACATCGGTCAAATTCCAATTGGTCTTGACCCGTATCATCTAATACATGACATGTTTCAATCGTGTCAGTCGATACATGCCCCGTACCAACCCATATTAGGTCATATTTCAGCATTCTTTTCATAACGGGCTAGTCTGTGTACCAATCAACTGGCACACAGTTACACACACCATTATGTACTATCTGTTTCATACCATTTCGGGTGTATGTGAAACCTTGCTAGCCAATATGAAGCAAATAAAAAATACAAGAAAAAGAACAAGAAACAACAGAAGCAATAAAAAATACAGGATAGAACTCTCTTCTCTAAACCCTTTCCTTCTATTATTCATTTCAAGACACTAGAGATAGGAGCGAGAACCAAAGAGATTATGCTTTTCTAATGTAGATGTGGGTTCATCATGCTTTAAATGGAAATTAAAATCCTTTATCATATTAAAAATGAATAGCCCAAGCACCTAGCCATCAATATTGGGTCGTTTATCATGCAAGTTAATAGCGCTAAACTATTTTAAGCTTAGTGTACCATGGTTCAACATGGGATGTGATATTGTATCGGATATGATTGATTAACTAGATGAACCTAAACCCACATGACCAAAAATATTTAAAGTTGTAAACCCAAGTTAATGGCTGTAAACCCATCTAGCCAAAAAATTATTATCACATCCATCCTCTCACTTCTAATAATCTCCACTGGGGTATCATAGGTATACCCTCTTATTAATGGATGATCCATATCTAAAACCTTAGGCTGGTGGTATAAACCACCTATACGATGAATTTGAAATGTCTTGCTTATTAAATAATATAGTATAAAATAGATAAGGTAAATATCAGATATTTGATGGTATTCTGTATGCTGTATAACCAGTGAATTCATAAATATCAACTAATTAGCTAAAGTAAAATTTTGGCACGAAAATTGCGTTCATACATTTAACATTGATTTTGTCACTATTGCTCCTGAGAAACTAACCAAATAAAAGCAAGCATGATGAATCCCTGGTAGTACACAAAGCGCTTATTCAATTGATAATCCTTGACAGTACAATGTGACCTCAACTTATCGTATGGCTAACAAAGAAAATTGCATGTTTAAGGACCAGAACATTTTATTTAAGGTGCTGCACCAGCTAGACCTACGACATCACCCTGACTAAACCTTGTAGCAACCTGTGCAAAATCACAGATGAAAGAACATTTAGATACACATGTCACATACCCAGACTAAACCTCATAGCTACCTGTGCAAAATCAAAGATGAAAGAACATTTAGATACACATATCTAGACATGTGTATTGAAGCAAAATCATGCATGAAAGAATATTTAGTTATGCATATTGAAGCAAGCATCATCCCACAATAAGCAATGATTGCTTTCCAAATGAAATACATAGTGCAATAAACTAAACTTATTAACAAAGATATTCGATAATTTAAGCATCTCTGGCATTAAGAGAAGAGAGGTACAGATAATCCTTTTTTGCAATTTATATGATCAAATATGTACTAAACCACTCCTGAGCAAGGTTCACAATTTCGTAGCATACCGACGTATCGAGTTCAGCTCGATATGATACGGTACGAGTATACCGAGTGGTATGCTCTAGCGTACCTCTCGGTGTGTGTGTGTATATATATATATATATATATATATATATATATATATATAATAAAAAAAATTAATAAACAAAAATCGCCTCATTTCTTCTCCCCGTGCAGATGAGGAGAAGTTGTCGGCGACGTCGAGGCCTCGTCGCCTAGATGAGGAGAAGACGATATCTCATCTGCGACGTCCAATGAGGGAGGGCGGCAACGGATCGGGATCGTCGAGGGAGAGCGACGTCGGATCTCCAGGTTCTCCCTTTTCTTCTCCCTCTTTTTCCTTCTCCCTCGGCTAATATCATCCCATAGCATAAACAACCCCAATCGACCGTCACCAATCGATTTCGCTTGGTAATAGGGCGCAAATAGCCCTAATTGACGGTACTGCCCGATAGCGGACGATCCGCATACCAGTCTGCTAGCGGACCGGTACATACCGCCTGGTATGGGCGGTATCATTCAAAATTACAAACCTTGCTCCTGAGCACCATTAGAAACTTTTATATGCATCACCAATTAAAGGCACTCAAAATGTAGCAAAAAAATTAAGTAAATAACACTTGATGACTATAGTCACAAGTCTTGATTTAACGAGAACATATTCCATTTGGGTCTGCTTATGGGTTGGCAAGCTATAACAAATTAACAACTATGCATAATGAGAAGAAGATAACCACTTTCACATAACTAATGAGACATCTCAGCTTGAGAAACCTATAAAAATAAGAAAGAAATTCAGATCACGACATATTTCATATATATGTATATACAAAGAATGCAAACTTCTGTGGGACCTGTACCGGTCCCAGGCTGAACCGGTACATACCGTTGTAACTAGCATACCGACATTCGTACACCAATGTGTAACATAGAGGAAGTATTAAGAAGGACATGGAAGGAAAAAAAGTTGGCAGTGGCGGGAAACGAGGAAGAGGAAGGAAGAAGAGGAGGCCGTGGAGGAAGAGAAGGAAGAGGAAGAAGTTGGAGGAAGAGGAGGTGGAGGAGGAGGAAGTGTATCCAAGGTAGGCGAGCAGCAGATGGTAGCGACCTTCGCATGTACAGAGAAGAGGGCTGATGATTTCGGGCTCTGCACATATGGAGAAGAGAGGCCACAAATTGAACCCAGAAATTTAACTTTTTAAGATTTTATTTTAACTGGACAGGACTGGATCGGATCACCCGAAACAGGGGCAGTCCTCTTATCCGTTCATGCCCAGACCGGTACGAACCGTTCCAGGAAAACTTGCAATCTTTGTATATAAATTTCCAAGGCCACAAACTAGAACAGCTAGCTTACTTCGCCAATTGGTTTATAAAGTTCATGTTGACTCTTCAATTGAAAAAAGAGGTAGCCAGCATATGCCACAAGCATGATACAGCTGCTGAACCTTGAAAGAGCCAGTTCTGATCTTCCATAATGTAATTCTGAGTGTGTAAAATGAAGTACTGCTGGAAACATTAGACCCATCACTGCCATTAATAGCAATCCTGAGTTCACGACGGCAGCAGCCTGTTTCGCATAGAAGCCATATTATTGTTTCATACAAAAAAATACAACCAATCTATTGGACAAGAAGTTGTTCTGTTCGATAGAGTTACCTTATTGAAGACCTGATCTTTGTTGCAATGGACAATTCCACCAGTGAAGAAAGCACATCCCAGAACTAAGAGCATATTTGACAATATGGAGCCCAGCAAAGATTGCTGAACAACACGAATCATTCCATTGTTCAATGCATAAATTGATATTATCATCTCTGTTGCATTACCAAATGTAGCATTCAAAAGTCCTCCAACTGCAATTCCATGTGGTTAATTGCATCATTTAATGCTTGAAATTGACAAGAAAAAAATCAAGATAGTTCCATCACATAAGTGTATAATATTTATATAAGAAACAAAGTGCAACAATAAATATAGATGTACCTGTTGGACCAGTGTAACTTGCTAGCTGTCTGTGTTATAATAAATCAGCAACAACATATTAATTTGCAAACTCAGAATGAACAGATAAGAAATGCAATGGCAACCCAGATTGACAAACAGTGAAACTTACTCTGTGGCATAACCCAAACGCTCAGCCAGAGGTATTATTCCAATCAGACTGAAAAAGAAAACCCATCCCTGTAATTTGAAAAGTATGGTATTAAAAATACAACACAACTCAGAACCAAAGACGGTATATAATTGTCCCATATCAAAGATATAGCTTCCAGGACAAAATAAAGGTGCTTTGCACCCTTTCATTTATCAGTACAAGCAGTACGACTTGGTATGCATCTATATTAGTTTCATCAAATGAAAAAATAACTGTGACTAATATGAGCCACAGTACAAACCATCCACTTGTGGTACAAAATTGCCACAAAACACTGGTAGAGAATCAGTCAGGATGATAAGCAACTAGAATAATCATTTTTCTAGTAAACTGTGAGTGAACTGCAGCAGTCAAGACCTCAGTAATTTCAACCTGATACATTAGAAACTATAGTCACTTGTTCCAGACAAAACTTATAAATATGAAAGGAGAATGAGTCATAAACTATTATGATAAAGTCGTAGAAGCAATTGAGAAGTTATTCATAGTCTGTGAAACGTTGGATCACCATAACAACCAACTTGCCCAAATCAGATACTCATGTATCCACCAATACTACACGTTTATGTTTTAGATTTTTAATGTAAGCATTCCCTTTAAAAGGGTTAGTACAATGGTGAATGGCTAACATTGCCTGGATATTTTTGGCTAGAGTCAACGTTTCAGATATGTTGGCTTCAGCTCAAGATCAACTGATTGATAAAAGGTAATTAAACGAGTGGTTTCATGATTGATATGATTCAAGTGCCGATCTTCCACTCGAGTGCTTCATGGAAAGTTGAGGCTAGCAATCACTAGGAACTCCATATTTCTGACAGAATGAATGCATTATTATTCTGTCCCTTCCAGCCTAGAAAAAGGAAAAGAATGACTTTCTTGGTTAACAATTAAAGATGTTTATTGTAGTGGTTAGCACTTATCATAATGTAAAAGCAAATATCATATATCAGTAAGGAAAATATAGGTTTTCATCCATGCCATATTAAACAAACATTATAAGAAAGTCCTATATTTACCTGCCTGCAACCTTTGAACCTTATCCACCTTATCTACACTGATAGGCTGAAAAAGCCCGATTGGTGGGTCCTCTATGGCTCCCATGTGCTCTCTCCAGTTATTCCAAGGGGGTGAATTGGAGAAGACACACGTTGGCCAAACAGAATTGCTCAATATTATATCTTTTTTTAATGAATTGCTATTTTGGTATATATTTGAATCATGTTATATCAGAATCAGGCACTGGCCTTCATTCTTTATAGGCCATCATCGTTCCTCTATGCTCAGATGCATATTTACCATTATGAAACAAGCAAAGACAATAGGAGTTAGACAAGTCCACTATAAGATTGAGAAAGTAGGCAAATTGATTATTGCATGTAAAAGCAGTTTGAAATGAGAGTTGATCTATGGACCCAAAAAAGGCTTTGGAGCTGATAAAACTAAGGTGATAAGTAAATGCTTACATGCTTTCCGGTAAGATAGTGAAGCATGATTGCTAAAGGTCCAAAAGGTAATAACACATTAATTTTCGCCTTGATTAGCACAATGTAAATACTCATCAATATTCTATTTCTTGTCCTCCCAGGGGTGTATTGAGCAACAGTTGCAAATGATCCGATGTGATCAAATGTGTGCGTCTTCCTGGTAGCCAATGGTGAACCAACAATTGTATCTTCTGGGAGTTCAAGATCTGTCTTCTCATTAGGTCCCATCTGCACATGCACATCTTTTTGAGATCATAGTCATTTTTTATAAGAACAAGAGTTATAATTCTGAAGCACTAAACAACTAACATCATTTTACAGCACTAAGCATGATTTGCTTATCAAACATGAAGCACCATTATGCAAAATTAAATTACTCTAAAAAGTGCATCCAAGAATGGATAGATGAACATGGAGGACAAAAATTAGTCATAGTCCGAAAAAGAATCAGTCAATTTTTTTATTTGGAATTTGAATCACAAGGTAGTTGTTTGGTTGAGGTACCAACGATAAAATATAACCAAGGCTTAAGGCTTTGGTTGGTCAATGTCTACTATTCTGACCATGAGCCAGCAAGCAGATCAAAAAATGTCTCCTGGTCTGGATTCATACAAAATATACCACCCACGAGTTTATTCTATACTACTCATACTTTCACTAACGTCAAGCTGTACTAGGCTGTACTCTTGCTATCGATGACCCCAAAGATGAAAAAATGGCTGTCTCGGCAATTAAACCATTGGAACAAGCCTGTGCAGCAGCCAGTTCTATTAACAGCAGTCTCCCCCATGACAATAGAGTTTCCTGCTTGCCAACTGTTTTTGAGACAGGCCAAGATGCTAGTTTTCTAGTTATTAAAGATTTTATTGAGAAAAAAAAATAGCATTAATAGGGAGTCTGCCCTGCCCATGACGTATTAGAAAGTTCTGAAACCCCAAAAGCAAAGAAGGTAAAAAAATAACTAGAGTTACTGCAGTGAGACACATCCCAGAAACTAGGGTTCCCAAGCAACCTTCTAAGAGAAAGCCCAAGAGAGATTAAAAAAGAAAAAAATTGATGAGAAGATTTATAACCTCGTTTATATTCCAAAGAGTAAGGACAATTTTCCAATGTTCCAATTCCAATGGATGGAAACACCAAAATATCTTGAGGGTGAGAATAGTAAGAACAAGTGGATGGAAACAATTGAAGACCAACAAATGCGAAGATGAAGAATTGGGTTACCAAAAATGCACGCAAGGAACGTAGAAGGTTCACCAATGCAACGATTAAAGATTCAAGAGGTCTATAATGATCAGCATAAAGGACACATGAGCTAGTTTGACATTTCTGGGCATTGTTACACAACGAAGGGGTTTCTTTTAGTGTTCACCGCAAAGCAGATCGAGAGGCTCATTCCAAATCATACTCTAATTTCTCACGTTGACTACAGTACTTACCAATTCTACATATTGATGGAAATACGGGTTAATCTAAAGCCATCTTGATCAATTAAACACAACTTCGTCCCATCAAAGCAAGCAGCGAACAAGATGATATCGCCGGCTTAGACAAGATGAGGAAACCCAGGGTGACGATCCCAATTCCAAAGTAACAAGAAGTCCTCAAATCATGCCCAAGATGTTACAAACGAACCACAAAATTAACATCCCAACCAATGCAGGTAGAGAAACCTTGTCCTGTGTTTCTTGATTGAAGAATCAAGAAGACGGCGTAATGAACAGAATCTCACCATTCTGTACGATAAGATGATGAATGAAACACAGTTTGGATGCACGAGTAATATAGCTTTCAACAACAAGAGAGGATCGCGGGTTAGAGAAGCGGAAGAAAACACCAAGATAAAGCCCAGAATTGCAAAGAAACAAGAAATCCTCGAATGAAGCCCAAGATGCTATGATCGAACCACAAAATCAACATCCAAGGAATGCAGGTACGAAGGTCTTACCTCGGATCGTTGAATTTCACAGAAAGAGGGAGGAGGAGCCAGATCTCGGGTTCACGGCAGCCCAAGGACCGACGTGTCAAGAAACCGCATGTCGAAGACCGGACCAAGAACGAACCGGAAGAGAACACCAAAGAAGGTAAGAAAGGGCAAAAGAATGGGGGAGGGCTATAGTTAGGAATTCACGTGGATGGGGGGAGAGAGAGGGAGAGATCCATGAAAGCCGCAGAAAGGGTCGCAGGCGGCATCTCTTGTTCTTGGGTTACCCGGAAGGTGGCATCCGACTGCCACCGTCTCCATCATCTGCTCCAGATCTATCTTCGAACGATAATGCATACATAATATATAATGCTGGTAATCAATACTTATTAGCACGAGGACGAGCGCCCCGTGAAGTAATCTGGAGAAGCGGAGCTGTGTTGTGGAAAATCTGTCCTGCATCAGGATTCGTGCGGGTGCGAATCTCGAGGCTCCGGGCGGTGGTTTCGTCGGGCGTTGCTGTTTCCGGCAGCAGGGAGCGGACACGTGCGATCGTCGCGCCCCCAAACCCAAAGTTGCAAGCCCTAAAAACTGTCAGGGGTGATTCACGCGCGCGCGCATCTGACAGATGTTCCCTCCTTTCTGGGTCCCGCGTGGGATCCTGTTGCCGCTCCAACAGCCTTGACTGCATTTACTTTCCCGAGGTAAAAATATCCCGTCGGCATGGGTCAAACCGACCGGTGGAACGTTCCAGGTGTGATCCGGATGTCCTGTTAGATGACATCACCTTGACCTCTTTCGACGGGTGGTTCAGTCCTCCGACAGGGCACCGGCGACCTCTCTGCCGTACATTATTACCACGTGCTAAGCACGTGGAGGACAAGGGACTACGGATAAACGATTGAAGCAATAATAAATTAGAGAGGCCAAATAGTAAATAAAGAATAGAAAACAATAAATTATTTATCTAAAAAAAAATTCTCACCAGCAATACGAATCGATTGTATCGGTCTTCTTACGATAGACCGATCGAGCCGACCTAATAATATTTGGCATTTGTTTGGAAGTTGTCTTCTCCCTGTTCGTTTTTCCTGTACGGCTAGAGATTCATGCAAAGTTGAACCTGCAATGTCCGGCTTTGTGGAAGTCAATGTAATAACAGCATCAAGATTTTGGCATGTTAAGAGGAAGACGAACAAACGAATTCTCAAAACTATACATATATTTCACGCTTTTGCTGCGGTGTCAGCCAACCTCGATTCTGAGCTCTGGTTCTTGCAAATGCTTCTGTTGCTGCTGGTCTTCAAACATCTACACGCCTGTGATGAAACCAGTTAATGCTCGAGGCAAAATTAAAAAAAAAAAAAAATTACTATCTCCAACATTGAAGTAAAAAATCAGCACCAGCACCAAAAATTTAACCTGTAATGTTTGTATAGACCATAGACATTCTAATGCAGAATTATAAAGAGTCGAAAGCAATCCTCCAAATGCCAGAAGAAGTGGCCACGGCAAGAAAAGAAGGTAGCAAATTGCTGCGAGCTCTTCGAGAGTCTCCACACTTGGTAGTCTACTGCAATGGATTAGCATTGCCACATAATCATATATAAGAGACTCTAATTTCCAGTATGTAACTTTAGTAGGACAAAATAATCCACAATAAAACTCTTCAACCACAACGAACATAATTGTTATCTGAATGTTCCATGTTAGGTGTGCAAATATTCCAAAATCGTTTAACTTTTCTATCAAAACCATACACTTTTACCCACTTAATTCACCAGTCAAACATAAACAGACTGACACTCAATTTTAGTGACCACAGCATTCGAATGCTAGACGATATCTTTGTGAACTCTAAGCTGAATGTGGTACTCTAATTGCCATTTTCTGCGCAAGCCAAGGCCAACTAGGGTCTGGGTCTACAAACAAGTGTGATATAAATTGTTCAGCCTCCTCGTCAACCAGTTCTCTTGACCATGTGGCTCTGTTTGTGAGACAACAACCTGGTCCAGAGCATCTGCAAAAAAATAAAAAGGCAGTTGAGACAAGAAACATGCAAGACTATCTCTGAGGCAACAAAGTGATTCATGAGAGACGATGATATTAAGACCATTGGGAAGAAACCACAATGAAGCAGATTCTCTAATTGTCAGTAAAAAATGATCTACATGCACAAAAAATGATGGTTTAATGCAAACATTGTAAGATGGATATTTCCAACCCCTTTTGATAAAACATAACAGCTTTTGATACCATGCGCATTAGATCTATCAATGCAACATGGATTTAGTGTTGTTTAAGCCCTTCCATGCCCAAAACAAATCTTCAATGGAGTGAGCCAGGGCAGTAAGAGGGGAACCAGCTTGAATCTCACAAAATGTAATTTACCTATACTCATAGAAACATGCACTTCGTTCATTCTCAGACTTGTCCCAGTTGTGCCACCCGACAGGTTTGATGCAAGCATCCATCCAAGTATATGCAAAAACAACCCTTCCAAAAGGTCCCCATGGACGCCCAAGATATGCATACGAAGTTCCACCATTTCCAGTGATAATACATCTGCATGGAACAAATATAAGAACACAACTTGCCAACAAACTCAACTTGACATGGAGAGTGTGTTCCAGATATCAACAAGGGAACCAAGTTCTGCAATGAAATGCTAATGAGGGTATATAGCAACTAATTGACAACAAGAGTAATACGTGATGTATCTTTTCTACTGTGTAAATGCCAAATTGCTGGCATAAATTCTCAATCTAGTGATTTTTAATTCCTAACATACGTTATCTGGCTCAAATTCTCAAGATAATCCTTGGACACAGTATTACGCCTATAATCTTAATCACTTTGTAGTGAAATAACCATGAACAAATATTTGTAAAATCTATAGTTCTGACTTCTGAGAATCAAAAACTAGATGGTGTTTTCTTTTTTCTTTAATTACATGCTTGAGTGTACTTACAACCAGGAGATATTATACATGCAAAAGATCTTTGGCATCAAATATTAGATAAAGAAAAAAACACTAATTTGTTCTGACAAACCAAAATTGTGGAACTTTTCAATTACTAATCTCGTGCAGTTGGTGGAAAGGAATTATGTACCTTAAGAAGACATAACCAGTTGAATCTTGAGAAGATTTTCTACTTTGGGCAGTTATAAATCCTTGGGATTTGCAGTGGATATGACAATGTTCTAGGAGGGCAGTAGAATTCCCAAAAATGAAGTCGACACTTCCTTCAATGTAGCAATCTCTCAGATATTGCTTTCCATGATGTAAATACAGGGTATCCTGCACAAAGAAAGTTTGAACAAAAAAAATAACACCCTGTGATTTGTAGCAAAAATTCTGAACCTTACTGCTCGGTTGGAACCTAAACAGTATTAACATAATATTTCTTTATAACTAAACAGACAAACTTTCTCAGAAGAAACTTATTTCTTTATACACCAATTAGGTGTGATGAGTCATCCAGATTAGTGGCACAATGAGAACTCATCTTATGAAAATTTGAAGGCTTTTAGCTTTTAGAATTCATTTTTTCCTCAACATTGTTCGGTGGTTAATCGCCAACACCATATACTTGGAACTTACATCTTGTTTTGTATCAGAACTCAACCATTGGCAAACATGCACATTGGACCTAGAATTCCAAATTTATTCCATACTTACATTCAGAATCGAAAATGATGTTCTTAATTTGAAAACAAGAAGCGACCAAATTAGAGGGCTAATTATATATTACCCCTTGTAGTTAGACCTCTTTAGCATCTCAATCCCTATATTTAAAAAATTTACATTAGAATCCTATAGTTATTAAAGTGAAATATCTAACTCCATTTACCATAACATCATCGGGTTTACCAACGAAACCACGAACAATGGGAAAAAAGATAATTTCAACATTCCAATTACGTTTTCAGTAGTGGGGGACGATGACACCACTGGGGGCTACGATTGCTGTTGTGGATGAGGAGGGAAAGCGACGATGTGAGGTAAGGCAAAAGGAGAGGAAGAAGAGAATGACACTGATACCGACGCTCTGCATCTGCATCAACGTTGCTTGCATCTGCATCGGCACAGACGCAGATATAGAGAGACACCTGCAGTTGTGGATGAGGAGGAAAAGCGACGGTGTGAGGTGAGGCAAAGCGAGAGGAAGAAGAGGACAACGCAGATACTGACGCTCTGCATCTGCATCAACGCTGCTTACATCTACATCGATGTTGACGCAGATGCAGAGCGGTGACGCTCTGCATCTACGTCAACGCTGCTCGACAACTGCGTCGGCGCTGATGCAGATGTCCAGCGACCCTTTCGCCACTCTGCATCTACGTTACCAAGCGACGTCAACGCAGATGCAAAGCATTGACAACTGCATCGTCCTCTTCCTCCTCTCCCTTTGCCTCACCTTTCACCGTTGCTCTTCCTCCTTATCTACAACAGCCACTCGTGGATAAATGGAGCTATATGTTTCACTTTCATAGCTATAAGGATTTTAATATAAATTTATTAACTCTAGAGACCGAGATGCTAAAAAAGTCTAACTACAAGGGGTAATATGTAATTAGCCCCAAATTAGATGATCTTTTAATTCTTAAACATTCCAAATAGTTGATGTTGGTACTAGTATAGTGATAAGTTGCCCAATTGCCAACTGATATCATGGATTTGAATCTCAATCATTCTCTTGTACATGGAAAAATATTGCATGCATTTGACCCATCCTTACCTTGTAGTGATAGAAGTCTCATGCACTGGGTTATCCATTGGACATTATAATAAGATGGACCAAGCTTGATGTGGATATTTGAAAAGGAATTTAGGATGTTATATACAAAAACGAGCACATAGGATGCAAGTTTGCAGTTGTTCTCTGGAATGGTAAATCTTACTGGATCTATCTATTCAAAACTTATTATTTGCATATCGTCTTGGATTTGAGAGTATGTCACCTTTTTTATTGTCTTATGAAAAATGAAATGCATGAATTACAAGCATTTCATGGAATTAAACATGCTTGATCTTTTCAGTTCAATGGGAATATTCTGCACAACATACATACAGTATACACCTTCGTGAAAATGATGGCCATATATATTATGAACAGACCATTACTTCATGAAAGTATAACAATAAAAACATGATATTAACCAAATAAACTCCTTATGACCTTGTACAACAAAATGAAGTGATTGTCATAAAGATACTTTTTTGATCTTTAACGTATAATTTAAAGGATGATAAAAAATTTCAATATTTGGACTTTTTATGGTCCTATATATAGGAAAAAATGAAAACGTTACAGAGCATTTAAGCCATAAGAAATTCCAAAATTACCAACTTATAAGGGCAGAATACATATCTCTTTGTGCACTTTACAGACAAATATAA